TTGTACAAACCACACTGCAGAACCTGCGAGAACAAGTGTGTGACTTCACTGCAGAACTGGAATGCCTTAGGCTGCAGGCTGGCTCAGTTAATAATTCAAGGGGGAACTCACTTTTCTCCGAAGCAAGTCATTTGTGTACTTGGATAGTGAACATCTCCGCAGTCGATCTTGTTTATGCAAAAAATTTAGCATTAATCAGATCCTTCTATTGAAGCTTTTTGAGAGGATTAAATTAGTCGGTACTGTGTGATTTAACCTAACCTTGACTTTTAGTTTTATTCGTTGCGTTTAAGGTTGAGGACCGTCGGCGTCGAGCAGAACTGTTAGTCAAGTGTCAGCAGGTAACAATAGAAGAACTCAAAAATGAGCTAAACTCTGTTCAATGCGAATCTCGTAAGAAAATCGTAAGCCGTTTCGCAGTATAATCATTTATATACAGAAGGCAGATATATTTGTATGGTTGATTAATAACATTTTTTCGTGTAGTTACAGCTCCAACAGGAGATTGAGTCCAGTATAACCAAAGCCGACTCGGCGCTTATCACTCAGCTCTACGCTGAGGTTGACCATTTAAGAAAGGAAGTCTCGCGCCTCGAATCAATTCTAAATACAAATCTCGATCAGCATGTAAGTACATCGTTCGTTCTCCTTGTATCTTTGAACCCATCCTTCTATCTTGGCGTTGCATAACCGTCGACTGTTCTTAAAAGAGGGCCTTGGCTTCCCCTTCGTTGACTCATTTGAAGTATTTTATGCGCAAGGTCACTAGGGCCACCGGGCATTTTGATTTTGCGCAGTGGGTTATGCGGGTTCGAATGATGATCTAGTGTTTAATTGAAGGTGAAAACGACTGAAAATTCATGTAGACTGAGCGTTTGAAAAGAGCTGACATATACTCTCTAATGAGTCTCTGTTCATTATCGTTCGTTATAGTTGACAGACCTGCGTGAAGCCGATCGGATGTCGACTGCGTTCAGGCCCGATAATTCCAGTCATCACAATCTCATTAAAGCCTTGGAGTAGGTTTGGTATCAGCTCTTATTTCTCCAAAATGAAGCCCATTTTGAATGTATTGTGTCAGGTGCCAGTTTGCGCAGACATCATTGCGACCTTTATTAGTTTGGCCACGAGCTTTGTGGCTGGTGCAAATTACTTGTTGAGTAAAATTAATAGCTAAGAAAAGGAGTTACATAAATGTACCCTCGCTGGCTTCGCATCTGCGATAACCACCTGATGGTCTTCCATACATGAGGAACTACTTGTCTCCTTATGTAGAGAACGGCTATTGGATTACAAATGCAACGCGGAGAAGACGAAACAGGAATTGGCTTCTTTGCGAGACCGATTTTTGAAGGAGACACATATTCGTTACGATTTGAGTCGAGAACTTGTTCAACAACGTGCTGTAGCCCAACGGTTGTCTCAAAAACTTCAAGCACTTCATATCGCAAACGAAGGTATTTGAGTAGTGCATACTAACGGTTGCAACAAAATTTGACACGCATGGCAGACTCTTGCTGCCTTATCCATTTCTCTAATAGTAAGTATGGATTTCCTAGAAGTGCTACAGTTTCGTTGACTTGATTTTATTATGAAGCCCTTGTTAGTCTTACATTATAGCAGGTTGCACCAACAGTGAATGCCAGCTCAGTATTCAAAGGTGCTGACAGCCTCAATATAAACAATGCGGTGCAATGGCATTCATCGATGTGCGTTTCTTTTTGTTTCAAAAGTTGTTCACTCATGCTAGGATGAATTTGTGGTGGATTCTACTGTTCTGCTTCTGAAATAGACGTTGTGGAACTCCTACCACCAACAATGGATCCCTTGCAGGAAATTCACTAATCTTATAGTGTTCTCCATCGATCGCCTGTACTCAACGCTAATAGCGCAGTGGCATGCCGACTTTTATCAATTAAGCTCTAAGATTTTCCGAAAAGCATTCGACAGTGAAGTGACTAGTGAGCTAGTGACTCAATATGTGCTGTGCATACACGTGAAGCTAACCATACTTATGCGTTTGTTTGCTTAATTTTTTACTAGAAAATAAGGAGAATTCGAAAACCTTCCATGAGAATAGGGACACCGACTCATTAGAAGTATTGGGCAATGCAGAACAAGACAAACCCTCCATTGGATCCTCCGATCTGCAGAAGGTTGAATGCAAGCAGTCCTGATTCAGGAGGTCCGCGACCATTAGTATTCAACCGTTTTCTGTATTGACAACCGCTTTCGAATCTAACCGTGTTTGCCACTTACACCTCTAGTTCCAAAATTTACTGCCCATGCGATGAGGGGAGGGGAGGAAGCGCGAGACTTTCGCTTCCTTGCGTTATTCCATTTGACGTTAAATTTATTCAAGATAGCACGATAATGGTTATTTGGACTCAGCTGAAATCCGTAGAAAATTCTAGAGGGATGGAGCAAATCTATGTGGTTCCGTCATTTCCTTTTTGCTTGCAGTACGCCTGAAAGGTTGAGTGCTTGAGCCGGTGGAACAGACGACTGGTGATCCCACCTCGCCATCACCCGGTCATTTGAATTTCCGCATCCTCCCACGTAATATCACACTGCGTCTTCTACCACCTTGGACTAACTTGACCGGCCTTACATTGAACTCGCCATGCGGAAGCATCCCACCTCTGACAAAACTCATGAGTCATCAAGACTCGACAGACAATTTGGTATTTGTCCTACGGGCGTAGGTTCGGATCGTGTGGTGAGTAACTAGAATTACAATGGGGATAAACTACACAAACGACGACACCACGATCCGTTAATCGTTGACTCTTACTGAAGGGGATCTTCATCTGTTCAGTTGGGTCCTCGACGTCGGATCATTCCGACGAAGAATGGAGCCATCCAGTCTCATGGTTTACCTGTCGCTAAACTCAGTTTGGGAGGCGTCTATAGGTAGACACATTCGGTAGATTACGAAATATCACCAGTCGACAGTTGGAATTCACGATCCCAACTTGCATAAATTAATCGTGTCAGGTGTGACGCTGTCATGCTTTGACCCGGACGCTCTCGACACATTTCGATTCCTCAGGCACCAAAGCCCTTATTCTGCTAAAAGAAAAAGTGTATGTATATATATATGCATATATCACATTTGTTCTGATAAATTAAAAAACCCAATTTGTTGTGTCCTTCAAGTGTGAAAGTTGAAAAAGAGCACTCGAGGGCACCCTTGGAAAAGACTATGCGTCAGTCTTCCTAAGCATGTCCGTCTCTTCTATTACATTGGCGATCTAAAAGAATGCAAAATTGGCTCAAGTACCATCAATTCCTTTAGTCGAAATAAGCACGCAGAGCCATGTTCCCATGTTCCCAAATTTGTAAGGCATTAAATCAAAGCTACGTTAATAGGTAACAATACTCATTCGAACTTATAAAGCAGAAACCAATGACAGCATCTAGCAATAATTTTGACTCGCTACCGTGTCCCTATAATTATTAACACTTGGAGGCGAAGCATTTGGAAGCTGCTTACAAACTTGTACGCAGGGTTTATTTTAAGGTTTTTCAACGATATATTGTTTTCATTTGAGTTGATCTTCTTTTCCTTCGTCTGGAAATCCTCAATATCCTTTTGAAGCTGGGATATATCCTTGTCCAACTGCACTAACTCCTTTAAGTCCTGCAAAATGGAAAGTCCACAATCATGTACAATCCTTGCATCGAACGAAAAACCTATTTCTAAGCCTACTATGCGGAATACTGGAAACAGAAAAAAATCAGTGGCAAATGCAGCCACACACGAATTAAATTGGTCGATAAAGTGAGCAACCGCGTCAGGTGAGTGTTGACGCACAAAATAGGCACTTAAGATACAGCTTAAGCCTACAATACGGTCGCCATTCTAAAATCCTGTACCGCCAAGAAAAATCAATAAAAATCGCATCGATTGCCGTCATCAAAGTAATAACACCTACCCCTTTTTCAATTATCGCCGTGGATGCCGTGGAAAATGTCTCGATCCTCGCTATGAGAGACTCAATATCCTCAATCCGAGCGCTCAGATTTGGATTTTCCAGAGCCTCCACTTTATTTAGCATGTCCAAACTTTTATCACGTAAGTTACATATTTGGGTGACTAGCACCTCGTGAGCGTCTCGCAGTTCTCTTATAAGTTTTTCCTTGGCACTGGTTGCCTTAGACATCAGGATTACAATTGCCTCATTGTACTTTTCTAACTCAGGCGTTGTTACACTTATCAATTCATCGCATAACCGACGAACCTCGTCTCGCACCTAAAAGAAAAGTGCATAATTACTGCAAAGTCAAAACGCATTAGTAATGATGACCGGAAAATCGAACACAACGCCTAACGAAAACAAAAAATTGGCGGCTCAATTCAAATAATAACCCAAGTTGGGCATCAACATTTGTGAACAATTCCTAAAAGAGGGGGAACGAGAAGTATCTACCATGACAAAATGAAGAATAAGAACCCGTCAGAGTTTAGGACACGTTTTCGGAAGACCTACAAAACCAGAGTCGCAAAGACCAATTCCTAGAAAAGGTACGCCGACAGGTTTCACTTCATTAACAATGTAAAGCAATACTACAGCAGTAACTGGGGCCATAATGGGGTAAGTCTCATACCCAGTGCATAAAAAAATGTACCTGGGTAGTATGCTTCGTCTGACAACAAGAACATATGGATTTATTGCAATGATCACACTTGACGAGAGGGACACTCGAAGTTTTGCAATCCTCACAGGAAATAATACTACTGTCTTGCGCGCAGTTTACCATTTCATTAAAAGCAAAAGACTTCTTCAAATCCCCAACGGAACAAGGCTGTCGACAAATGGGGCATTCCCTCTTTTTGGAAAGCCACCCAGTTATACAGTTTCGACAGAAAGTATGGAGGCAGGGCAGGGTATGAGGGTCATCGTATCTATTAAGCAAAAAATAGCACCAACAAGCTTGAGTGAAATAGGTAACACAATATTGTCCTCTAACAGACAAAAAACAAATTCTTCATAGCAAGAAAAGTATTTGAAGTATCCTAACATGCAGAGTTTGATCACTGCAGTTTCCTGGAACCAACAAACTTGAGTAATCTAAAAAAATCTGGTTCAAAAAGACAGAGCAGGATACCGATAAGAGGTAAG